GCTCTTTAGCTCCAGCAGAGCCAGCAGTTGCCCTCTGCAGGGCTTTTAATTTCAGAGGAGAGAGAAATTTGGTATATATATTTTTAAATGTGGTATCTCTTTTTAAAAAATACATCTTTATTGATTCAGAGAGGAAGAGAGAGATAGAAACATCAATGATGAAAGAGAATCCCCCTGGGGATCGAGCACGCAAGAGCCTGCAACTCGGGCTCACAAGCCCTTGACCGGAATTGAACCCAGGACTCTTCAGTCACCAGGCTGATGCTCTATCCACTGAGCCAAACCGGCTAGGGCTGAATGTGGTATCTCTTGATTTTAAAATGTTAACTCAAACAAAATAAAAATCACCCCATTGGCCAATCAGAAAAGTCTCAGGCTAGTGTCTAGTCTGGTTTTTAGGACATCTTAGAGATTCTGGAATATTAGGGATCCCAGGATCATTAGTTCCATGGGCCCGAGATTCTGCATTTCTAACAAACTCCAAGGTGATGTCACTGCTGCTGGTCCACCAACCACACTTGGCATATTGAGGATTTAGTTCATCCTTCCACCCAGGAATTCCCTCTGGCTATGTCCTTGGTCAATGGTGTCTCCAGTTCTACTTGCATACTTCCAGGGGCTGGATGCTCACTACTTAGAGTGGCAGCCTGGGTGCCCGCCGCACCTGCTAAATTCTATCGTGGTCTGCAGCGATGGGGAAGGACATCCAGGCAGACATGCCGAGGCCCTGCTCTGGAACATCAGCGTTCCACAAAAGACGCTTCAGCAGGGACTTGCCAGCATGGGGTGGCTGCCAGTTAAGCTGAGAACACTACTATCCCTTGGGTGTTCTGGTGAGTAAAGGTTTGGTGCAGTTGGTTCGCTTTTCTTTCTCCAGCGCCTTGAAGCAAGCTTTTCTCTGCACTTAGGCAAGTTACGTGGCTATGCCCACAAGTGCAGGAGCCAGTTCCGGACTGGTGGGGGATGGAGCAGGGACTGACGCTTGAGGCTAAACGAAAGCCCTCACATCCTCAGCCTATGTGACATCCCCTATTCTGATGGGACAGGAGGTCACCTTCTCTGGGGTTGGGGCATCCAATCCCAGAACCTCCTTCCTGGTGCCTTAAGAAGCCCTGGAAAGTGGAGAACCCCCCTCCCCACCTCCTATCTCAACATCCTGCTGGTCTCAGGGTCACTGGGGCTGGAGGTCACATGCCCAGTGCCCTGTATCCCAAGGCCAAGCATTCTAAAACCCAGCCGTCAGAGCCAGGGGTGTGGACCCCACCTAGGCCACTCCGCATTTCACCAAGGAGGGGAACCCAAGCCCAGAGAGGGACAAGACCTTCCCAAGGTCACACAGCTGGTTGGCAACCAGATCTTCAAAGGCCCAGAATCCTTGGACAAAAAGCTGCACAGAAGCCACCGGCGGGTAGTAGGCAGATTTGGTCACCTACAGCAGCAACTGTCAGGAAGAGGACCTTCTGGGGGTAACCTGAGGGGAGAGGAGTGTGTCAGGGGAAATCGTGGAAAGGAATCATGAGGGTTCACCCAGGAAGGGGAGGGTCATGGGTCAGAGCTTCTTGAAGGCGGGTGGGGGCCCCGGAAGGGCTTCTGCAGTCATCTGTCCTCTGGTGAATGTTGCCCCCTAGAGTTCTGTCTCTTGAGCAGGGCACAGCCTGTGGGGGTGGGGGTGGAGGGCTGGTTATTGCAGAGGGAGTCAGAGGAGAGGTCACAGAAGGTCATGGTTACAGGGAGTCCCAAGTCTGAGTTCCTGGACCACTCCAGACCTACCCTACCAGAATCTGTGTGGCTGGTGCTCGCCTCCCAGGGGAAAGCTCTGGGTTTAGGAACCAGCCTGGCCTCCCTAAGGCAGAGAGAAACCAGGCCCACTGGCTTGGATGGGAAGTTGCAGGCAGGGCTGGTCCTTGAGCTGGGAAAGAGGAGCCGTCCCGGGGAGGCATCTCCCAGAGTATGCAGCCCCTGCACTCTGGGGAGAGGGAGCCAAGGGGCAGCACCTGTCCCAGCCAACGTCACTTTCCCGGGAACAGGCCCGGCCTCGCCCTCTCCAGCTTCTGGCGCCGCTCAGGGGGTATCTCATGCAGGTTGATGCCGTGGTTGCTGGCCCTGCAGGGAGAGGGCGGCCTCAGGGGTCGGAATGGGAGTTGGGAGGGCAGGGCCCAGGTCTTGCTACTTGGCGGGGTCAGGCACTGGGCCAGGGGCAAGGAGAAAGGCCGCGCCCTTCGCTCGGGGCTCGCCCGCCAGCGGATGACGGCTCCTCACCCCGGATGCAGGTCTGGCGGTTTGGGGATAGGCTTGTTGAAGCCGCGTCTGCCCACCAGCCAGTACGTTTCCTCCGCGCCCTTGCCCTGGGAAGACACGGGGAGGGGAGGACTCAGGCGGGCTGGGGCGAGGGCGGGTGGATCCCGAGGTCTACGTGGACCGGGGAGAGCCGGGTCGGGCGCGGCCAGCGGTGTCTCCCGCCCGGGCGCAGCGCGGGGCGGGCCGGCCTCACCTTCAGCTCCGTGCGGCCGCGCACCTCCGTCTGGAAGCCCTGGTCTAGAGCGCGGAGGATGCGCACGGTGCTCGCGTTCACGTGGATGCGGTAAGCTGGGGCGACAGAGACCGCGATGACCCTGGCTCCACTCCCGCGTCCTCCCCCTGGCCGGCTCCTCCCGGGACCCCACGACGTCGGCCCACCTCCCGCGGCCCCGCCCGCCGCCTCGCACTCACGCAGCCCCGTGGACTCCATGCGCGAGGCGGTGTTGACCGTGTCCCCGAACAGGCAGTACCGCGGCATGGTGAGGCCCACCACGCCCGCCACGCACGGGCCTGCGGAGACGCGGGGTTGGTGGGGAGGAGGGGCCGGGGCTGGAGCTGGCGGCTGGGTGGCGCCGGAGGCCTAGGGGGAGTTTAGCACCCCATAATCTCCACCGGCTGCCCCAAGGAAATACTCTCAAACGTACCCTAATAGCTACAGCTCCCCTAATTGCACCGGAGCGCCTGCACGCAAAGGTAGCTTCACGGCAAGCGCCCGCCCCCCTCCTGCCCGGGAATCCAGAGCCGGGCCGAGGGGGAGCTCCCAGGGCCGGCGGGCGGGCTCACCCGAGTGCAGGCCGATGCGGATGCGCACGGGCACCTCGGGCATGTGGCGCATGTGGAAGGAGCCCACGGCGCTGAGGATGTCCAGGGCCATGTTGGCGATCTCTGCCGCGTGCCGCTGCCCGTTCCGCTGGGGCAGCCCGGAGGCCACCATGTAGGCGTCCCCAATGGTCTCCACCTGTAGGGGAGGTGCAGGATTTCAGTACTGAGCACCCCGCCGCCCCAAGTGATTGTCCCTTGTCCGGAGGCCTACACTGGGTTTAAGCACAGAGACACTGGGGATCCTTCGAGCTGGGGGACTGAGCTGGGGACCGGCAGGAGAGGAGGTCTGGGAAGGAGGACAGGGCTGGTGGCCTGGGGGCTGATCGGGAAGGGCTGGGCCGGAAGCCTGCGACCCTGAGGAAGGGCCTGTCCCCTGCACACTCCACCTTGTAGACATCATGGGAGCCGATGATGGCATCAAAGAGCGTGTAGAGGTCGTTGAGCAGGTCCACTACTTCGATGGGCTCACTCATGGCAGAGATGGTGGTGAAGCCCACGATGTCGCTAAAGTACAGTGTCACCTCCTCGAAATACTCGGGCTCCACAGGTGTCCCCATCTTCAGAGCTTCAGCCACAGACCTAGGGGTGGCCGGCGGTGCGGTTACCCGGAGGCCGCCCCAGTCTGGCTGGATTGCAGCTGCCCTCCCCACTCTTCCCCGCTGGCACCCACGGAGGCAGCATCTGCGTGAGGAGTCGGTCTGTCTTCTGCTTTTCCAGCTCCAGCTCCTCCGTGCGCTCCCGGATCAGGTCCTCCAGGTTGCTGGAGTACTGCTCCAGCATCCGCAGCATGGAGTCGATAATGTTGGTCTTTCGGCCCTTGTTGATGCTCTTGAACTAGTCGGAGGAGGAAGCTGGTGTGGCTGCTGAGGACCTTGGCTGCCCTGGCCCTCTCATGGGGCTGTGTTATGCCTGACTATCTCTCTCTCACCCATTCATTCATCGTCAACTCATCAAGCCCCTCCCACACCCAGGATGCCCGGCACTGGGTCTCGCACATTATTAGTAGGCGCACAGGAAATGAGGTCCCATAAGGTCAGCTGGTCTCAGCTAGTAATTGACAGAGCACTGAAACCAATCCATCCTCAGCGGGAGGGCTCCTCCCACATCACCAATTCCCAGGCCCAGGGTCTTTCTGCCACATTTAGTTATCAATAAATATTGAGTTGAATCAAATATTTCTCCCACCCACAGCTCCATCTCAGGCTCCAAAGGTCTCTACAGCCCCCACTCTAACTCTGCCCCCACCTAAAGCCCAGTCCTCAGGCTGCCCCTTAGGAAGAGCCTGGGCTGTCGGAGGTCCTGCCAGCCTGCCTTCCTGCATCTCCCCATGTTGCTGACAGGTGGCCAGCCCAGCCTTTGCCCAATCCCAGCCCCTAACCAGGCTGAAGGTGCAGTCCATGGAGGGCCGATGGTCCGGTTGCTCTGCCCAGCACTGTGTCATCAGCTGGATGCACTCCATGGGTGCCTGGTCCACGGAAACCAAGGGCCGGCACAGCGGAGGGGGGTTCCGCACCCTCTGCACCACCTCTGGAGGCATGAGGGGACCGTGAGAGGGGGTGCACCAGAACAGAAGCCTGATCGTGGAAGCTCAAGATGGGGGGCCTAGAAGGGGGTCCCTTAAATCAGAGCTTTGGTAAGTGGGGAAGGGATTTGCTGGGTGCAACAAGAGAACCCTGAACTCCCGGGGGGCAGGGGGCAGTAAGGTGACAGAGACTACCATTTATTACACATAAGAAGTGAGGGCTAGGATGATCGAGTAGCTTGCTGCGTCCTATAGATGATAAATAACATGGATTTGCACCATGTTCAACTGCTCTCTTCCCATCTTCCCCCCGACCCTGCCGCCTCCAAAGGCCTCTAAGAACCAGAGAGGAGCCTGTTCCATCCGTTGGGGAGCAGTTTGGAGGCCAGGATCAGGCCGGAGGAAGCCACTGAAGTCTGGCGCCTAAGAGCCGCCCCTGCCTATCCTGAGGCTGGGCTCTCTACTGCGCGGCCCCTTCAGCCCCCAGCTTGAAGCAAGGCCTCCATAATGACGTCTCAGCACTGGGCTTTCGGAAAAGAGCCAGGCCGGGTCTGGCCAGGCTCTGCCTAGTAGCAGGAGGCTCTTCTAGCCCAAACCCCACGCGAGGGGCGGCCGTACCCGCGGGTGTCAGTGCCAGCATGGCGTAGGGGGCGCTGCGGCACACCACCTCCTGCATGATGATGCCCACGCCGAAGACGTCGCCGGCCAGCGTCCCCCTGCGCTCCAGGCCTGGGTCCCGGAGCAGCTCCGGGGCGGTCCACAGCTGGTCTGGGGCCGGGGAAGAAGGCGTGGGCGCGCGGACGGCCTTGGGGGAACTGGGGACAGACACCCCCCCTCCTCCCTTCCCCCAGCCTGAGGCTGGCCCCGCTGGCTGCAGCTTTCACCAGGGGAGACCACCCGCAGGGCGTCTCCGAAAAAGCCCCGCCCTTTGCACCAAGCCCCGCCCCTGGAAGACTCCGCCCCTGGACACAAGTCCCGCCCCGAGAAGACTCCGCCCCGGGCACAAGCCCCGCCCCGAGAAGACTCCGCCCCGGGCACAAGCCCCGCCCTTAGGCTCCGTCCCACTCGGAACAGACCCCGTCGCCAGGACAGGAGGTCCCTCCTCAGGGACGAGTCTGCGCCCCGGTAAGGCCCCGCCTCTGGGACTTCACCGTCCGCCCCCCTCATCTTAGAGGTCACAAGGCCTTTTCCGTAGCAGGAGTCGCCTCCAGTAGATGAGAGATGGAGAGAAAGCGAGGGCGGAGGGAGAGAAGGGCCTTGAAATGATGGGGACCCCGGGGCTGCTCGTCCGCGCCAGGGGTAGCCAGGGCATCCTACCCTCCGCGCTGGGAGGCTCTGCTAACACCCTCTGCGCTTCCAGGAGTCGCCCGTGGCCGTGGTCGGTGACTTTAAGCACAAACCTCCCGTCCACCACGCAGTTCCGGGACTTAAGTCGCCCATGGGCCACGCCTCGGTGGTGCAGGTACCTCATTCCCTGGACGGGGTGGGGTGAGAGGCCGCTTCAGCCCCGGCTCCCCTGCCCTGTCTCCCCCGCACCCCTCTTTCTGCACCTCCCGCTCCCCGCACACCTTGATGAGGTCCAGTAGCAAGGAGGACTTGAACATCCAGTCCAGCTTGATGTCTCTCTGGGCGAGGAGGTCGTGCAGGGAGCCCCGGGCGCAGTGCTCCGAGACCACGGCCAGCATGCCCTCCCCGGGGGCCGCGGCGCTGTCCGTTCCCCCCGCCAGGAAGAGCCCCAGGTAGAGGGCCACGTTCTCGTGCCGCAGCTCCCGGAGCTGAGGGCGGGGGGTGGGGGGTGGGGGGGGGTGGGGGGGGGGGAGTTAACAGGCAGTTGCCCCGGGAGCAAGGTGGGAAGGAGGCTGTTGTTCAGGTCTGGTTGTGAAGATGGGACGATAGTGGTGAATGGAAGGTCTATAGGGCACGTAGGAGGGCTTTCTTCTACAGACAGCTTCTCGCTCCGAAAAAGACATCTTCAAAGGCTGCCGTTCAGAGACTGAGTATGGGTTTAGTTTAAAGTTATGGATGAAAAGACACCTTTGCACGGGGCATCGGGATCTGGGCAGGTTCTGATTTATTAGCCATCAGACTTGGAACGGTCCATGTCTCAAGGAGAAACACCTCATGAAGGAGAAGCCACCGGCACCACCACCCACCCCTTCTGATGTAACAGCCTTTGAGGGAAGAACCAGGGAGAAGCTGCACTGCTTTCAAAAAAACAACAGAAATGGCCCTAGCTGGTTTGGCCCAGTGGATACAGCGTCAGTCTGCAGACCAAAGGGTCCTGGCATTGATTCTGGCCAAGAGCACATGCCCACGTTGTGGGCTCCGTCCCCAGTGGGGGGTGTGCAGGGGCCAGTCCATCAGTAATTCTCTCTCATCATTGATGTTTCTATCTGTCCATCCCTCTCCCTTCCTCTCTGAAGTCAGAGGTCAATAAGATTATATTTAAAAAACAAACAAACGAAAAAAAAACAACACCTGAAAAGGCTTGTACTGGGGAGTCAGCTATGCCTGAGACGCCCACCCTCCTCCCCAAGTTCTAGAAGTAGGGGCTGAGTAGTCAAGCTGTGGTCCCAGAGAGCCCTCAAGCAGGCCACACCCACTCAGCAGGACAGAGGCCCTCGCCACTGGGCATGCTGGGAAATGGGGCCAGCAGGTGACTGGTTCCTTTTCTAGCTTTCCTTTGGTTCAATGAAGGGCTTCTTTTCATCTTAAATGCCTGCCTGCTGTTATTAAGTAGCGATTTACTAGTATGTAGTCCGTTGACCCATACAAGTAGCCAACTTAAGTCACTCTGCAGCCATGACCAAGAGCTTCTGTGGAGGCATCAGGGGAGGAGGCCAGGCCAAGGCTGCATGGTGTTAGGGGTAAGGGGGGCACTAAGGTTGGAGGGACCAGAATAAGCCATTTTATAGCCTCTTTGCCAACCTTCCACTTCACTCAGTATGCATCAACCAGGCCATTCTGCATGAATGAGCTGACAGAACTGGAAACCCATTTTTCATTTTCTATCATTCACTCAACAAACACTCATTGGGTCTCTCTGATGTTCCAGACACTGTGCTGGGTGCTGAAAATATAATGGAGGGGGCTCGGGGAAGCCCTCACACAGCTTTTGGTCTAGAAAGGGAGGCAGATAAGAAATAATCGGGCACACAGATGAACATAAAATTACAAATTATGACCAGCACATCAAAGGAAATAACTGGTGTTATGAGAGAGCATAATGGGAAACCTGCTTTAGAGAGGAGGGGACACTCCACTGAGACCTCTTGACCTCTCCACTTGGGGCCTACATCTGTGCCCAGCTGCAAAGAGAAGGCAAGAAAGGAGAAATGATGGCCACCCCATACCCCATCATGGGCCCAACTCTTACCTTGGAGAAGGCTGTCTTGGTTGCTGGGCGGATAACTATGTGCTGATCCCCGGGGAATTTCTTCAGCCAAACCCAGTCTCCCTGGAGCAGAAATATGAGCAGTGAACTCAGTTTCTTAAAAACCCATGATGCAAAGAGCCCTAGAGCCCCCATTTCCACTGTCCCAGAACATTTTCCATGTGACAAAGAGTGTCAGGAGCCAGGAGTTTGGGTTTGATGCCTACTAATCCACTTGACAGCTAGCTGGGTGAGAGCCCACCCCTGGGTAAGAGATGCAGAAGGCCTGAAAGACGATCTTCACTACCCAGATGTGCTCACCAAGAGTCCTATTAAGCAAGCCATTGCCAACACAAATGTCATTGAAGTCATAGCCTTCATCACCATCTGTTGCCATGAGAGCACTGTGGTGGGAGTCAGGAGTCTGGGTAGATCAGGCTTTACTATAGACTAATGGTGAAGTTTAGGGAGCTCCCCTCAAGGCTCTGGGCCCCACTGGCCCCAGCTGATGGCAGGGCTGGTTCATGGGCATGTGACGTATGCAGTCACACAGGGCCCACGCTCAGTAGGCCTGAGCTGGTTTAATGATCTGCTGTTGTCATCTTGGATGAACAAGGGGACCCTTCATTTTTATTTTGCCCTAGACCTTGTAAAGGGTGTCCCAAAATTCACGCAAGAAGTAATTTTGATAGAAAACACAGGTTTATAATTAAAAATTGTAAATTTTTAATTGATTCATAAAGTATACAGTATAGGGTTATGTATGGAATAGGATGTCGGGTAAATGGCCTCCACGGCTTTGCTGGCACATACGCACTCTTTTGTTGAAATTTTCCATGACTGAAATGCGGCTGCTCAGGCAATAACAGTTAATGGTGCCCGCTATTCCGACATGATAATCCAGTTTTTTGTGCCGTGGAGGCCATTTACCAGATATGCTATTCCATACATAACCCTATACTGTATACTTTGTGAATCAATAAAAAATTTACAATTTTTAATTATAAACCTGTGTTTTCTATCAAAATTACTACTTCTGTGAATTTTGGGACACCCTTTTTAGCTGGCCTTGCCTGTTGATAAGGGATTTGGACAAGAAGAGAATTTGGGGGTTTGATACAGACCCCTAAAAAGCATTTGGAAAAAAAAGTGAAGACATTTTTAATTGCCGCAGAAACTGAGGGCAGCCCAGCAATGTGGCTCAGTGACCTATGAACCAGTAGGTCATGGTTTGATTTCTTCCAGCTAGGGCACATGTCTGGGTTGTGGGCTTGATCCTACTTGGGGGTGTTCAGGAGGCAGCTGGTGGATGAGTCTCTATCATCATTGATGTTTCTATCTCTCACTTCCTTCCCCTTCCTCTCTGAAATCAATAAGAATATATATATATATATATATATATATATATATATATATATATATATATATATATATTTAAAAAAACAACAACACTGAGGGCTATGTTTAGTAAAAAGGGCCAGAGAAGGAGACACTCAACATTCTTCAAGGCACGAGGTAGCCCAATATAGTGAAGAATAACCTGCCCCAAGTGACAATAGTGCTGCCCTGACATATGGCGTGATGACTTCTACATGACTTACCAGCAGTCTCTGCATTCTCTCCGTGACCTGACACTCTGGCTAAACATCCCCTCCCCTTCTGATTGGCTGAGCTCTCTCTCAGCTCTCCTAGAACTTGTTCTCATTATCTCCCACTCATTCCACAACATCAGATTTGCTGAGCCCATAGTTAATGTCCTCATGGCCCTTTGTGACGTTCTTTTCCCCCTCGAAGTCTTGCTCTTCCTGAGTCTGGTTGGAATTGGGTGGAGATGCTAGGTGGGGTCAAAACGTGAGTCTGGTTTGAGTCATGGGTAGCCGTGTCTGGAAACTCCCCATCCTGAACAATCCATGTCCTGGAATTGTCCTTTCTGTGACTGGGGAGCCATATCCCAGATGCCCCTCTGCACCTACTTTTCCTGGGAGGCCTGTGCCCTTCAGTAACCTGAATGCTTATCACTGAGGGGGGAGGGCCAGGGGCTCCCAACACAGTGGGGGATGTTCTCAGTGGCCACACCAGGCTGCGTGCTGGTCCCAGCACACTCCCCACCAGGCAGGCTTCTAGCCCCTGGGGCACTGAGGTTGGCCTTTGAGGACGCCTAGCCTGGATCACAGCTAAGTGAAAAATCCTGGCGCAGGAGGGATTCCCAGATGCTTCCCTTTCAGAAATGTATGACCTCTCCCTAGAGCCTCTTCGGGGGTCCTATCTCCATTTCCTGAGGATATGACATGACTCTAGGAACAGTTAGCGCTCAGCCTCATTGCGAGTCAGGCTCACCTCATAGAGGCCGATGTTGGAGCTATCCGCAGGCTGGCTGGGGACGCTGCGAATGTCGGACACACTGCGGGTGACCAGACTCGACCGACTGCTACCCTGGGCCACCTGGAGGGTAGAGGTCAATTCAAGGGGGTCAAAATATACTCCGAGTCCCGGATATATTGAGTGCTCAGGCAGAGTTCTGGGGGTTAAAGAGGGGAGAGGAAGAAATAGTAATTAGGGAAGGTGATCATGACATTACTTCCCAGGGACACAGCAGTTGACAGTTTACAAAACATTCATTTCTTGTTGGAGCTTCACACTGCCCAGGAAGCAGCCAGGACAGGGCCTGTCCCCTCAGTGCACACATCAGGCCTGGGACAGGGCTAGAGCAGACACCAGGCCTCCTTTCCAGTTGGGGTTGGGGTGAGGGCTGGCCCAGGCAGGGGACCAGATACTTAAGGAATCATAGTTGGATCCTGGCTCCCTGCTTCTCCCACCTTTTGAGAGCTGCCCCCTTGTGGGTGGAGGAAGGTGATGTCGTCCAGAGTCAAGATGATCTTGTTGGGGCCTGAGATCATTTGGATGTGAAGTAGCCGGTGCCTGGTAGGGGGAGGAGGTCCGCAAAGGGGGCCAAGGTGCATGAGAGGAGGCCAGAAGGGGATAATGGTGCTCAGGGGAGGGCAGCCATCCCCAAACCAGACATCCCTTGGGACTATGACAGCCTTCTAGCACCCCTCCCCCCTGTCCCTTTCACATAAACTCTCCCGTCTATCTTGAGTGGACCCAGCCTGCTGTCCTGCTGTACAGTTGCATTTCTGGCATGAAGAGAGCCAAGCTCATCTCCTACTTACCTCACTTCCTTACTCACCTCACATAATGGGCCAGGAAGGCCCCTGTCAGCCCCATCCCAACCACCAGGAGGAAGCCGATAAAGACCAGGCCCGGATCCACTCCTGGAGGGGCAGCGAGAGGGACACTGAGGACCTGGCGGAGGAGAGGCACCCTTTCTAGGGAAGCAAGCAGTCATGCCATATCCTGGAGGCTCCTGGACAGGGGGAGGGGAGCCAAGAAAGGGAACTAGTGAAAGGTTGTGAGTTCTGCTAAGGGGAAGCATCTGGGAGCCAGAAAGAGGGCTTTAGGGGCTCAGCAAGAGAGGGGTCCCAGGAGGACCTGAAAGGGCCTCATGGAGGAGTTACAGGAAGAGTTCACTGTCTGTCCCCACTTTGTGGGAGGTGCCTGGTGACTGTCCTAGTGGAGGCTGTGTTTGCCCTCACCTCCGTTGCAGATGATGTCTGGGTCGAACCAGCAAGAGGGATCGGGCCCAGGCCCCTGGCCCCCTCCAGGGAAATGCACTGGGGTCCCAGCAGAGCGGAAGGAGCCCCGGGTGGGGTCCAGCATGTATGTGGCGAACAGCTGGTCCCCCGCCTCATCTGTGTCCAGCAGCACAAGCGGGGGCTCCTCGGCTCTGCCCAGGGCCCCGCAGAAACCCGGGACCTGGGCATCCTGGACGTGGTGGGCCACAGCTGCTCCAGACACCCAGCTGCCACCTACCGCCGCCCGAGCTCGCGCCACGCCCCCCGCCAACAAGAAGACCGCATCATAGATGGTG